TCGTTTATCCTTTTTATACACTTTCAAAGATCTTTTAAATAAGTGTTATTTTATCATTTATCCTTTTTATACACTTTCAAAGATCTTTTAAATAAATGTCATTTTATCATTTATCCTTTTTATACACTTTCAAAGATCTTTTAAATAAGTGTTATTTTATCATTTATCCTTTTTATACACTTTCAAAGATCTTTTAAAAAGTGTTATTTTATCACTTATCCTTTTTTATATACTTTTAAACATCTTCTAAATAATTGTAATTTTATCATTTATCCATTTTATACACTTTTAGAGATTTTTAAAAGTAAGTGTTCTGTTATAACTTATCTTTTTATAGACATTTAGAGATTTCGTTTTAAAATAGGTTTTTATTTTCTTTTGCAAAAATACTTTTAGAGGTTTTTGAAAATAGTCGTTTTTTTCCTTTTAAAATTTTACTCATTTTTGAAGATTTTTCTTTTAAATAAGTGATTTACTTTTATCTTTTTATACACGTTTAGAAAGTTTTAAAAAAATAAGTACTTTTCTTTTATTATTTCATAAACGTTATGGATTTAAATAAATAAGGAATTTTCATTCAACTTTTACAAACATTTACGGTTTAGTTTGATTTGATGTCAACCTGAATGGATTATTTAATGCCGACAATATTTTTATTGCTGGTAATATTTCTTACTTCAAAAGTGTATTGCTGGTAATAATGTATTGCTGGTAATAATTTTTTACAAAAATATATTACAAGTATTAAAACCTATTTTTACACTTTCATAGCGCTTTGACCCTAGTTCGGGGGTTAACTAATTGCCCATGGCTGAGACGCTACCACCCCGGGTCAGGGTGGCCCTGGGGCACCAGCAATTAAGAAGTGGTTCCGCATTCCTCAAAACCTACTGATCAGAGGCGTTGTTGTTGGATGTAGTTTATCGTCTTACCCAGGACGCGGATGTAGTTTATCGTCTTACCCAGGACGCAGATGTAGTTTATCGTCTTACCCAGGACGTAGATGTAGTTTATCGTCTTACCCAGGACGTAGATAAAGTTTATCATCTTACCCAGGACGCGGATGCAGTTTATCGTCTTACCCAGGACGCAGATGTAAGTTTATCGTCTTACCCAGGACGCAGATGTAAGTTTATCGTCTTACCCAGGACGTAGATGCAGTTTATCGTCTTACCCAGGACGCGGATGTAGTTTATCGTCTTACCCAGGACGCGGATGTAGTTTATCGTCTTACCCAGGACGCAGATGTAAGTTTATCGTCTTACCCAGGACTCGGATGAAATATATCGTCTTACCCAGGACGCAGATGTAAGTTTATCGTCTTACCCAGGACTCGGATGAAATATATCGTCTTACCCAGGACGTAGATGTAGTTTATCGTCTTACCCAGGACGCAAATGCAAGTTTATCGTCTTACCCAGGACGCGGATGTAGTTTATCGTCTTACCCAGGACGCGGATGTAGTTTATCGTCTTACACAGGACGGCATTTAGGTTTTATTTAAATCACAATTTTTCTTTTATCCTTTATTATTAGACATTTTTCTTAAAAATATTTTTTGGTACTCAGAACTAATTTTTCACGAAGGTTTCGTAATTCAAACAAATTTTAACGCTTAAAGACTTCCATATATAGAGTCGCGTGCATGTAAAGTAATTTTAAGCGCTTTTTCTATATTAGGATGTAAAAAGTTTCTTGAGGCAACAAAGGACAGGAAGTTGCGGAGAGTCATAATCACTCAAATCCCGAAGAACAATGTCACATAAAATAAAAAGAATATGGACGGCAGAACAAGGACAAAGAAGGATTTTAAAGGATCAAAAGTTGCTTACAGCAATAAAAGACAGGAAGTTGTGGAGAGGCATGATCGCCCACATCCTGAAGGGACATGGCACATAAAAGAAGAAGAATCCTATGGATGACAGAATAAAGACAATGAGGGACGTTAAAGTGTCAAACATTACTTAAAGCAACAAAAGATAGGAAGTTGCGGAGAGCCATGATTGTTGTCATACTGAAGATATATGACACATAAAAGTAGAACAAGCTTACAGGCGGCTAAACAAGGGAAAAAAAGGATGTTAAAGGGTCAAAAGTTACTTCGAGCAGCAAAAGATCAGGTAGTTGTGGAGAGCCATGATCACTAAAATCTTGAAAATTCTTGGTACATACAATATGTCGGTCGATTGTTCTACGTCTTTTAGGAGGCATCGATATGTATTTGCAGAGTAATCAGCTCTTTATGCTTGCGCAAACACCTGTGGTACGAGCATTAAGTCCTTCATATCGAAAATTCTTTTTTCTTTATAAAAAATGCTGGATTTTAGAAGAATTTTAGTGTGCAATACAAGGGACTCCTTTGAACTTTTCCTTATCAACGAAGTTCTCTGATTATTTTTTAACCCAACAGCAAGAGTCTTCATGCTATAAGTATGACGTTTCTTTGGGACATATTGTCCAGAATTCTCACCTTCTGATTATCACTTGTTTTATTAAATTGTTTGGAAAATAATATCCGATTTTAGAATCAACTCTTATTTCTGAATTAATGTATTTATATTGTATTTAAATCAGTCGAAATAGTAAACCTGAACAACTTCACATTTCTGCCATCGAATTACAAAGATTATTTATGCCTTTACGATAAAACTCTAAAGGTTTCGACTCCAAAATTTGAATGCACTTAGATAAGTTTCAGAAATCACAGTGTAGTCTTTTGTCGGTGCCGGAAATGGGAACGGCGTACAGAGTTCAAATTCCGACCAAAGTAGTTGCATTCACCTTTGCACAAGTAACCTTAGGTATTAATTCATTTTTCTTCCGCGGATTATGAATTAAATAGCCCTGGTTGGCAACTAGTATAGGAAGAGTATAATTTTGAATTCAAAACCGGCTGGACGTGGGACTGGCAACTTCAACCCGTAAAAAGTCTTCTAGTTACGGAAACTAAAGCAGCAGCGTGGTGAGACTGGGCGAAAACTAGACACAGAGAAGTATTTGTCTTTCATATTTACAACGGGTCGTGTTATAATATTATAACTTGGAGCATATCGTTCGACTTTAGAATCAACGTATATTCCTGAATTAATGTAATTAAATAGTGTTTAATATAAGTCGAAATAGTAACCCTGAACATCTATTCATTTTATGCCATCGAGTTACAAAGATTATTTATGCCTCTTTTTTTATGATAAAACTCTAAAGGTTTGAACGTCAAGATATCTTTAAGTACAGTTTCTTTATCTTTACAACGGAATTCCTTTAGCTTAAAAATGTCTCATGATGCTTGAAAATGTCATAGCCAGTGGTAAAGAGATCAGAGAAATATGGTGGGTATGGCAAAGTCTCGTGTCCCAAGTTGTTCTGTAGAGTCATCCTGACAACTTATGGCCGATTATTGTCATGAAGCAGAATTGAACCATATCGATTAATCAGTGCAGGTTGCTTTTTGCTAAACTAAATGTGCATTTTATCCAGTTGCCGGAAGTAAACTTTGGCAGTAATACTCTGGTTAGATCCCAGAAACTTGTAACGGAAGGTGCCAATGGCGGACCACCAGAGAGTCACCATCATTCTTCAGAACTGACTTATATGATAGCATATAAGACGTACATAAAACAGCTACAAATATACGCAAATTTGGCGCTTCCTATCAGCTAATGTTATTCTCAAATCTCACGACCCGAGCTATAATTGTATGGAGACACTTCAACCTAGCTTTACTCAAACTAATGTCCGATTTTAGAATCAACTCTTATTCCCGAATTTAAACAATGTCTAAATCAGTCAAAATACAAACCCTGAACATCTATAAATTTCTGCCGTCGAGTAATAATGTTATTTATGCTTTGACGATAAAACTCTAAATGTTTGGACGCTAAGAACTCTTTAACTGCAGTTTCTTCATCTTTGCAGTGGAATGTCTTTTGGCTTAAAACATTGTCAATATTCTTGAGAAACTGGTAGTCTCAATTTCTGATTATAACTTGTTTTATTAGGTTGTTAGGAAAATAATATCCGATTTTAGAATCAACTATTATTCCTGAATTAATGTATTTAAACAGTGTTTAAATCAGTTAAAATAGGAACCCCGAACCTTTCTGGCATCGAGTTACAAGAATATTTATGCTTTTACGATAAAATTCTAAAAATTTGGACGCCAAGAACTCTTTAATTGTAGTTTCTTCATCTTTTCAACGGAATGTCTTTTAGCTTAAAACATTGTCAATATTCTTGAGATAAAGGTAGTCAGATCAGGGAAATATATTGGGCGTGGCAAAGTTTCGTATCCCAAACTCAATGATTTTGCATTTTGGCAACATGAGACCGGGCGACATTGTCATGAAGCAGAATTGGACCTTGTCGATTAACAAGCACCGGTTTCAGTTTGCTTAATTGAATGTGCCTTTCATCCGGAGGCTGGTATTAGATTTCGGCAGTAATTCTCTAGTTAAATTCCAGAAAGTTTTAATGGATAACCCCAATACCAGATCAGCAGACAGTTACCATAATCTTCTGTTGGTGCCATTTTGGTTTTGGAAAATGTGTACGTTCTTCGTCATGATCAAGCCATTAATTGAGCCAACCGGTTACGATTTTCATAAAGGAATCCATTTTTCATCACAAGTCATTAACTGATCAAGAAATTGAAGAATACAGCGGGATTACGTCACCTTAGAAATTCAGACAAAAATGGAAAAGATCTATGACGCATAGATTTCTTGTTTAGCGGTTTATCAACACACCTATGGATTATTTAATGCCGAAATCAAAATATTTTGAACTCAATTATATTTTATTTATTTATTTACTCATTGGAGATAATAATGGTTTTAGTGATACAAGTTTTACTAATTAACCCATAGCTGGAGAATAAGAGATGGTTTCACCCCATTCCCAAGGGTATTTGCGCATAAATGGATATAACGAACCCAACCGGAATTGGAACTCTGATTAACAATTCTGAGCCGTTATCCACTGCACTACCCGCACATCCAAGTTTACAGCGCCTAGTATTCTCAAAGAGTCGCCCATCTAGATACTGACCAGGCTCAACTTTGCTTAATTTTGGTGATCGTACGAGAACCGGTATTTTAAAGTGATATGGACGTAAGCCAAGAAACAAGAAATCTGCTATGCAATATCAAATTATATTGCAGTGAATTTTGGACAATCTCCTAACTGAAAAAAAAGGGAGACTTCAAACGTCAGAGAAGAGAAAAATGCTAAGAAGACCCGACTCAGTTGGGGCTTTTTTTCTGAGGGCAGATACGCAACTGAGAAAAATAAATACATCGAGATGCCTAGTTCTGGGGAACAGCTGCCCGTGGCCTCACTCCACCTCCGCTCCGGCCATTGCACTAGAGAGGGGAGATCGGTAGTCGCTACCCCAGGGCCTGCAAAAAACGATGGTTGCAGGGGCTGGCCAATATTTGTACTTGGCCCGAGTGTATGCGCTCGGATTCCCTACAGTAAACCCAACCTTGTGTTACATCACATCTCAGTGGGGAGACGAGGTAAATAAGAAGACCACGGAGAGGACATATGAGGAACGTAGAAGCTTTAAGGGAAAAAAAATAGAAATTAATAGAACACTAATACTGAAAATCAGTAGACAGCTGAACTTTCAGAGACACATAATGAGGAAAGGCGGCCTGGAGAATTTAACACTGATAGGGGAATTTAATGCTCACTATTAGCGCTATAATCTTTAAAATCGTCATTATCGCCTTATTAATAAATCTGACAAATGTCATCAGCATCCCCATAATGATACATTTATTAATCATCATCATCACCATCGTCATCATCATTGTCATCATCCCTATAATCATTCACATCACAATCACCATCGACATTATAATTATCTTTATTTTATCATCATCATCATCATCATCATTATCATTATCATCCTTATAATCATTCACATGACACATCATCAACATAATCATTATCTTTATTTCATCATCATCATCCTTATAATCATTCATATTACAATCATCATCAACATAATAATTATCTTTGTTTCATTTCATCATCATCATCCCTATAATCATTTATATGACAATTATCATCCATATAATCAATATCTTTATTTCATCATCATCATCCTTATAATCATTCACAAGACAATCATTATTGACGTAATAATTATTTTTGTTTCATCATCATCATCATCATCATCATCCCTATAATCATTCATATTACAATCATCATCAACATAATAATTACCTTTGTTTCATCATCATCATCCCTATAATCATTTATATGACAATCATCATCAACATAATCATTATCTTTATTTCATCATCATCATCATCGTCATTATTGAAATAACGTCTCTTGAACCTCTTCCTTTTTTTCTGCTGCCAAAATTACAATTCTCATCTCCACGAAGAAAAATCTTATAAAAGCCATATTCGTTCACACTTCCACAGCATCCATTCTCAAAATACTTCTCTTCCACCGAGACGGCCATTTTTGTCACTACCACCACCACCAACACCAACAACAGCAACAACTAAAGCAAACTACCGGCATCACTATCATTCTACCCATCTTTTCCTCCTCTGCCATTTTGCAACTACCGCCATCATCGTCCATATGATTAACCCCATCACCCCTGCCGCCTTCAGCCTTCCCCTAATTCATTCCCCTTTCTATACCCTCAATACGCATTTCCCACGACATTTTCTAGCGAGAGTCTCTAAGAGATACAATATTGTCCATAATTGGGGTTAATTTGCCTGGTAACGCGGAGCTAGGCCCCAATTGCTGGGTAGCGGAGAGAGATGACGGTAAAATAAAAGGTTATCCAGTTGCTTTGCTCCCAAATGGTTTCTTTGTACACGCCTGCGCACAAAACACGTGTCGACGCATGCGCACAGACATGCATATTCATGCACGTTTTATGAAAGCGTAAACATGTGAGAAGACATTAATGTAACTAAAACGAACTATTAAGGTGTTAGAAAAGTAATTGCGTATTACACTGAAATGATTTATGCGTCAGACTACCATTGTGGGACAAAACTTAAATTGTAGGAAACTGCGTCTACAATTGGTTTCTAATCTTTTCAAAATATTATTCTGCTCGGAAAGTAATTTCACTGCTATGAATTATGAGTTCACGAATCTTTGGACAGGAGTAGAGGTTCATCCCTTGTTTCCTGGTTAGGACTGGGTTTCCGGTTAGCTTCTAAAATCTACTTCAACACATCTAAGCCAAGCTTAGAAAATCGCCATAAATTTATTTACGATTTCTTTCTTTTTTTAGTCAATAGGAGTAGATAAGTTCGCCTATTATCTAACTGTCTATTTTCCTGTTGTGTTGCCTTTTCGTATGCTAATAGAAATCTACACAATAATCCTCTTTATCTAACTGTCTATTTTCCTGTTGTGTTGCCTTTTCGTATGCTAATAGAAATCTACACAATAATCCTCTACCTTGAGTGGCCCTAGAGCCTTACATTAGGTGAACATTGGTAAAAAAAACAAACCTCAGAGTGAACCACGGAATGTTAGGACTCTGCGTCTAGAAGTAGTTTTTCATCTCTCCTATCCTATAATGTGTGTCGTTTGTAATGCATTTCAGGGTTTAATTGTGAAAATTTGCAAAGATGGAACGTGGTCCACTTGAAAACTGAATGCTGCATTCCAGCATGTAAATGCATCTCATCGTGGAGTAAAGATCAGAAAATTAATCTCTTTTTTTCTTTTTTTCTTTTTTTTTTTTTTTAGCATTTCACCCCAAGCAAGGCAGGAGTCCTACTAGCACGCAAAGAGAGATTGGGAGTAAGAGTAAAGAGGTGTGGTAGAGGAAATGATGAAGAGAAGGACAGGGAAAAGATCAAGACATCTGGAGATGTCGATTAACATTGCATTTGAATATTTGGAGATTGTATCTATCAAGCAAGCAAGTAAGAAGGGAATTCCACAGATGGGAAGTGCTAAACATGAAACTATTGGAGTAGAAGAGACGGCTACATTTAACCGTTTCGATAGTGAAAGGGTGGGACTGAAATGCCAACCTAGTAGCAAGTTTAAATTCCTGCAGTTTGAGAGCCATCGGAATTAGCTCGTCGGAGCAGTTATCGTAAAAGTATTTGTAGAAAAGACAGAGGGAAGCGACTGCACGTCTGTAAGCGAGCGACTGTAAACGAGATGCCAGATCAGGGCCTATCACATTGCATATCCGTCTCTGGATTTTGTCGAGGACCTTAAAACGAACAGCGAGGGCACCAGACCATATATGGCAACAGTATTCCATGCAAGGGCGAATGGTTGATTTATAGATTTGAAGGATGGATTCAGGCAAAAAAAGTTTCTGGCGCCACACAGAGAACCAACTTTCCTTGCAGTAGATGAAGCTATTGATTCAATGTATTTGTTTTATCTCAGGTCAGCGGACAGTGTCAGACCAAGCGGGGCCAAAGAGGCGCTCTCCTGGAGTGGGGCATCAGCCATTCTGATGGGAGGAAGGGAGGGTTCTCTGTGATGGGTAAAAGAGAGCAATTTTGTTTTAGAGGCATTAAAGTTAACCAGCCATTTCCTGTCCCAGTCAACAACAGAATGGAGGCCCTTTTCGAGGCCAGCGGCCTGGTAAGTTTTGTCAGTGGTGCCGGATTTGCTATTGAGGCAGGAGTAAATAGCGGTGTCATCTGCATAGATGCCTACTTGGAAAGTGATGACATCGGGATGATCGTTAATGAAGATCAGAAATAGTGTAGGTCCCAGGATAGAGCCTTGGGGAATATTAACATTACAGTAGTGAGTTCGATGCTCACTGACTGACTAAAGCTCAAAGTCTTCTGTTGCATTAAGGTGCGGTGAGCAAATTTCAGGACTCCTCACTGTGCAAACTTTAAGCATAGATTATTAGCAATTACAGGTATACCACACCTTACGTCGGTAATCTGTTCCAGGAGAGGCGACTTAAGTTGAAAAACGGCTTAAGTGGAATTTACTTGTCTCCGAATTTACTTGTCACCAGGCTAAGCAACAAATAACCAATCCCAGTTCTGTATTTTATTTATAAATGCATTTTAATAATATATGGTCAATAAGAATCTATTTTAAACTTACAAAACAAATAAATTTTAGTTTTTAATATAGTACAGAAAAAAGTAATCTAAATTACATATTTGTAAATGGAGATGTTTACAATTTGGCGATTTTTACAGTACATCGTGAACTCTTAATTTGTAAATGTGGTTTTCTGTAAGACATAAAATGAAATGATTTTGTAAGGTTAAATAACAAATAGTTATTAAATTATTTTACGATAGTAGAAAATAAACTAATTTATGTTAAATTTACCAATATTTACATTCAATTTGTTTATTTACATCATGGACATAGATGGCTGTGGATCGTCGGCATCAGCAGCTGATTCTGGCTGTTGTTATTGTTCGATACGCTTTTTAAAAAGAAACTGGTCGAGGATTCCTTGAACTGTGTTGTTCTTCTTTTCATCAAGGATGATGTCTTGTTTACCTACCGCTGTAGGTAAACAAGACAACACAGAGTCACAGATGTTTTCATATTTCATTCTCTAGGATTTATGATGATTATATTAACATTTACTGTAAATGTACATATTTTAATATGATTTTATATACTTTTCTTCTTATTTATTGTACAGTAACATGATTTCATATGCTTTTAATGCTTTTCTAGTGATATTACGACTTCAATATTTGTGGCGGACAGACGTAAAGTCGAATAAAATGACATAAACTTGATTTTTATTTTTCAAAATATATATATATTTTTTTTGACAAAAGATGTATAATAAAAGCGACTTAACTCGAAACGACGTAACCCGAGGTATATCCGCACTGGGTACTCTGTATTTGCCACCTTTGCCAAACTTAATAAATATCTATATGTTCGGATATTTTACAAGTATGTTGTAGTTCAGTTGTGATATGTAACAGTACTTATATTCCTGTCTTTTCTTATTGAAAAAGACATAAATTTGCAAGATTATCTATTAGGTGCATATAAACGAAAAGAAAATTTTCCAATCTATTAAATTGAGCATGACGTCCTATACTACAGGCTTAATCATAATGCAACTAAGCTCCTCGTTCCTCTGAGAGCGAGGTAGTT